ATGCATATATTTCATTCATTCGCGTGATCAAATACAGGATTAGTCACGAGCAAATCCAACGATCATTATTGATCAATATCTACAATATAATAGCGACAGTTTAATTTAAAAGCTGACTGCGCCAGGTAAGCCCTTGAATTCGCCGCTATCTGATTGCGAAAAGCTATTAGAAAAAACTTAAGAACAAGATGACGTTGGGGCAATTTAGAGCCGCGTCTCGCTTTTCGCATCGCGGCTGAAAACAGGGCATCGTTGTTCGGCCGATCGCAATGGCGGAAATAAATATCGGCGCGAAGGGAAGGGCTTGCTCGTTAAACGCGCGTTACGCAATTTTTACACGCATTGAATCGAGTATGAGACTAGGATTGAATCGAATCTTATCGTATTATAATTTATTAACGCTAAACTTACCGACATTTCATGTATACCTACCATTCCTACCATGAGCGGTCAAATGACAAAAAAAACATTTGTATCTTAATATAGAAAGAGATTTTAACTAAATTCGTGGATTCGTAAAGTAAACAATACAGAAAGTTGTGAATATTGAAAAATCGGTTGTATCTACATTATAGAAAAAGTCAATAAGTCGATACAGTAACTTTATATACAAGAAATTCTAAACGAAATTTCAAAAACGGTCATTTGACCGCGCAATGGTAGGTTTAGTGTTGAGAGAGAGAGAGAGAGAGAGAGCGTACGTCGGTTTATCTAAAATACGCAGACCGAGCTTTATCACTTCTGTCGCCTCTGTGTGTATCTTGAAATTGCAAAAATGAGCATGCAGTTAACTCTCGTTTCAAAACAATGCGGGAGAGATTTTTCGAAAAGTATCGACGTTGCATCCTTTGAAAATGTGTGATAATAAAGCGTTAACCATGAAAGTGTAAGCCTGAACCGAGGATCGGTACAGGAAACTCGAAGAACTTTCGAAACGAAGGTATTAAGAAATCAAAAAGATTTACGGTACTTCCATTCCATGAGTAAATAGCGAAACTAATATCGAACAAAGTTGTGATTTATGATAGAATCTTTATCGAAACGGCTAACTTGAAAATATCGAGTTTAAGTTGGCGTTAAGTTTCAGAGTCTCCTCGCGGGAAGGAAGATTATAAAAAGTTATAAAAAGTGTGTTGTTGGAAGTTGAGAATTATATTCTAGGATTACTGAAACCCATGTTTCGTTAAGATATATTACTTGTAACAATATATAGAACAAACGAAATTTCACGGTGTATGAAATTTTGGACTAAATCGGTAAACATTTTTCTTGTTGTCAGATTATCGATCGAAACAGGTTTTCAAGAATGTTTTCAAACCGGCTATCACGATTTCCGCATTATGACCTAAAAAGACAAATGGGACGCATATGGTTCCCGATCTTCTACGCCATTGCTTTCTACAAATATTTAATTTCACGGTTAACATATGCGTAATGGGGGGGGGGGAAAAAAAAGGGAAAAATGTGTGGAAAGAAAAAACGGCAGCCAGCAGAGAGTTAAATAAGGGTTAGATGACTCAACTTTGTTTTCCGATAACTAGCTACCAACCAATTACGAAGTAAATTATCTCTACAGTTCAAAGGTAATAGCGGTTGATCATCAAACGCTCTGTACGCAAATACGACAATATACGGGGAAAACCATTTGTAAACTTTTGTGAAAAATTTTTTTCAAAAGTTCAAAAATGACAACTAGCTTTAAATGAAGAAACAATGTTCATCTGACGAGATTAATGTAAAAACAATTGCGAATTGAATCTGATTTAAAACTATTAAACGATGAACCGACTGGTTCGAGGGCGGCAACCAATTACCTGCAAGTTGGCAAACTTTTACCGTCAGGCTGCGGTCTAGAAACGGGAAAAGAAGAAAACGAATTGAGACCTCAATGAAATCGCAAGTACGTGCGAGATACGTGTGATAAATTAATTCGAAACGAGTCGAGAGGTGGAAGAGAAAAAGAAGAAAAAAAAACCTTTTTTCAAACAATTCGATTTCCTTTCGAGAAACAAGTACGCATAATCAGATCTGTTCCTTCTCCTTTCGTGACGCTTCTAATTAACGTGGAGTATGCGACGGTTTCGAGGCCATCGACGAGTATCGCGCGTATCGACATTGCTCAAGTATTTATTCGTAATAATTATCCGCAAAGGAAGAGGAGAAATAACTCCATTTTGCCAACAATTAACAACATTGTCGTAACCGCGAAAATATTCGCTTCTCTTATCGCTAAGAATGTATATACTCATATATTGTATGTATTATTATAATATTGCATATCATTACTATATTTATCTTGCTGGATACTAATTTATCTATCCATGTATGTTTACCTTTGCATTATCTTCGCGGTATTATCTATACCTAACGATTATCGTTTTGACTCGAATAAGTGATAATATAACACCAAAATTTTCAATTGTAAAAAGTTCCTCTCCGTTTAAAATTGTTGAGAATTAGAACGTTATTCTCGCCTCGAAGGCAGAAAAAAATTAGACAATCGCGTGGCTATAGAGTGGCAAGTAATTCGATCGTGTGTTCGCGAGAATTCTTTTGAATTTACACCTTCGTCAATATCGTGGAATAAATAACTTGCGTAATATCGATACAAGATATTTGCGAAGAAGAACAATGTGCGCAGCCGAGATGCGAGGATATTGCGTTTTTTTTTTTTTCTTAAATAAGGATGGATTACGGTAATCGTTGTAACAGACGAACGACTACGCGGTTAAAAGTATAATCGACGAGCTTAGCCAATCGAAACCTTTCGAAGGACGTAATGAAAAGACGAGCGATAAAAATTATATTTTATAAAAAGTGGCTTTTTATGCCATTCGACGGGACACCAAGCAAACGGATCTCGATAGATTCGAGTATGCTGATTCGTTAAGTACTACGCACCTCCTTGTTTTTCTCGGCCTGTGTTCGTATTGCGTAAGCAATTTATGAACCGGCCGAGAAAAGGAAAAACACGTTGCATTAGCCTCTCCCGAGGATAATAAATACAATCTGAATCCGAAAACAGCGATCGATAGAACATTTAACGGACGCGTGCATTTAACTACATGTTTTCGACATTATAACTCAGTTATGAGTCACACTGTTGGTTAAATGTCACAACTTTGGTCAACTTTGAAGCAAGAAATCGTCCAAGAAATTCTTTTAATTCAACTTTCGGTAAAATCGTCATCATAGATCATCATAGATCATCGTACGTACGATCAGGCCCCATTTTGGCTTTCAAATTTTTAACGAGATTATATACTTAATTTCTGCCAAAAGCTAATTCAATTGAGTAACGCGTAATCAAATAAAACCTCTTGTAAGACTTTAAAAAGTGTTGAACTCAATTCCACGACCCGGAATCCAACAACGAGATAAACATCATTGATCGCCTTTGCAGCGTAAAATTCAGACTACGATTAACTGCTCGCGATAAGTAATTCAAGTCAAATCGTGAAATTGAATTAAATTGATTCTTATCATCGTGATATAAGGTATAAAAAAAATTGCAAGCTCGGAATGAAGTTTCGAGAAAAGAAGAACTTCCTCTTTAGAACGTCTGTGAATCGAGCTGATCGACCACGATAAAACAGACCGGTTGAATGAAACTCGAACGCGCAAATTCGATTGGAGAGGATCCTCGGTCCTCGGGGATCTGGCAAACGCGACGAAAAGCGATGTCAAGGAACTTTCGTCGCTGGATGCCGGTCAATCGATAATGCTTTTTGCATGCGTGTCAACCAACTGGTCGAGGAAAGAGTAAATGCACACACTGTTGCATAAGTGTCCGGTGTGCGAAGAGCTGCTGGCGACCTTGGAATATCAAATACTGGAAACGTAAAATGAGCACGTAAAAGCGACGATTCGCGAGCCTGCTCCTTCTGCGAATTAATCGTGCGAGGTTTGGCAGAATCAGGAAATGATCGTGATGATGATAATAGTTCGCGAAGAAAAATTAAGGAAATTTCGTAAGGAACGATGAAATCAATGCTCATTTTTAATTAGGATAAATGTTAAAAAACATTCGTGTAATTAATTTTTAGAGAAATTTTAAAGAAAGATTATATATTTGTGAACGAGGAATCATTGTTTAACCCTTATTCATTCTCCGTTCCTTCAGATTGATTTAACTTTGTGTTTTTCTTTGTGTTCTCTTCACGATTGAAGTGATGTAGAATATGTGATATAGTCTATAAAAAAAAATCCTTTTATGATTACTCCAAGGTTGTTTTTTTCTTTTTTAAGTTCGAAGGCTAGCCTTCTTTTATTTTATTTATCGGAAATATGAAAAAAAAGACGTATCATCAACCTGTTTTTAATTTGTAAAAAAAAAATATATCCTTTTAAATGAAAATCATCGCTTCCTTATTGCTAAACGTCACTATTTAATTTTAATCTTCGATTAAAATAATCACGATAAAAGAAAAGAATCTTGGATAATCTTCCTCGTTCGGCCTTCGACTACGTGGATTAAAATAATGTGATAAAGAGATTTTATCCTTCGGAATCATTTTAACTGCAGAATTCGTTACTTCATAAGTGATAGATTACTCTATATCTTAATAATCTTCAATTTGAATTTTTTATAATAATAATAATAATAATAATAATCTCTTATAACTTTACAAATTTACTATTATTTTTTTTTTTTTAAACTGGAGCATAGCTCGATATCCCGCTATCCTCAATAATTCACTCTCTCTCTTTCCCATGATATTCATATAGTTACACGTTATTTCCATTGTAGGTCAATTATACAACAAATAAATTTTATCCCATTTGTAAACAATATTTTTCGTTAAAATCTTCGAATTTCGTTCACACGTCGTATATAAATAAACAAGAAAATTTAGGATAATAATTATGAAACAATTTCGGAATGTAAAATTGGTAAAATTAATTCTTACGTTCTAAGATATATATAAAACACATTAATCGTTAAAATTAAACTTTAAACACACAATATAACATAAATATAAATTGAGTGTAATACTTACTGCCCCGTGGACCGTAGAATTTGACGGAAAATTCGTTTAATCCTCCTAATATCGTCACCTCATGCTTGCTTTCTATTCTGTAGAGTAGAGGAGTCGAGTTACGAGTTAAGGAAGATTAAACCTGTAAGAAAAGATCCTTTCGCGGCGTGGGCATCGGCCGCGGGGAACAGATTGATGGGGGGGGGGAGGGCCGATCGAAAAAGAAAAAAGAAAGGCCGAGATCGTGCAAACAAGAGGCGAAAACACGGTGCGCAAATAATAAAGCGTCGACGAGAAAACGGTGCAATGAACTGCGGGGGGAAATCGATGTGGAAAGAAGTGCGAACGCAGAAGCGTGTCAGAAGTCTGGCCAGTAATGTTATCTTCGTCAATCGATGAAACGCACCGAAGCTCGCGTGACTTAAGCCGAGCGTGTATTGTAACGCTTCGCATATATTCCTGACGCAATCGAGATTAACTAATTTTTTTATAATAAACCACAATGGGTGGACACAATGTCAGGTGAAATCATTCGTATTAAAAGAACAAAAACTGATTTTCACGGTGGGAAAAAAATGTTTTGATGCAATTCCCTTTTTTTTTTTTTAACGTATCGATGGAAATCAAATTGTTTCTTCGAGTTAACAATGAACAAGATACGAGGAAACAACATTGCGTTTCTTTAATTGGAAATAAATGAATGATAATAAAGTAAATTGCTACATATTGTTTCCACGAAAGTTGAGGTATTAAAGGTGAGAAAATTATGTTTTTTTTTTTTTTTTTAAAATTGAAAACTTGTTATTCTTAAAGAAATTTTTCAGGATTTAATAAACAGCTTAAGATTTCTAAAACGAGAAAAAATTCTTTTCGTATTATTTCGAGTACTGCTATTATTTTAAAGATCAAGGAGAAAGGTAAGCTTTTGTTGCGAAGAATACAGCTTGTAGCACGTTATATGGCTCGATACAGTTTCTTTTCAAATCCATATCCAATTTCAACTTGGAAAAATGGTAAACGGTTGAAAGAATCGGGAAAAGAAAAGAAAAGTTTTCAGCCGCGTTTAATAAGTATGTACGCAAACGACGATTGCTGAAATTATCAAGCACGCATCGTTGGAAAAAACTTTGAGGTCACGTTTAATTTTAATTTCGTCGATTCTTTTTTACTTGATACATCGCGATGCAAAGATTCATTCAATTTTCACGCGAAATTAATCCTTTAACGATATAATTCACAAAAATATAAACTATCGCGGAAAAATCGTAAGTGTGAATCGTTGAACGAGATCGGAAATCGAGTTCGAAAACAAGCGATGTAACCGGAACGGAGCAGAAGAACGGAACTTTAATTGCCTAGGTTTGGAGAAAGTTCACAGAACAATATTTCGCAAAGCGTACACATTACGACTGAATCAAAATCAATGGAAAAAAAAAAGATTAATTAGAAGCATCTTTGTTATAATTACGTAATTATTTGAAAATCGTAAAAAAAAAAAAATTAAAATATAAAATCAATAAAATTTAATAAAATTGAGATTCAATTGTTGAATCTTTATAGAACGAAATAACCGAGAGGGATTTAGTTTCGAAGCATGACTGCATAACCATATCGAACCCTTTTATTACTTAATATTTTTCTTTAATGCACAAGTTAAGAAGGGAAATCGAATTACAACGATGTACGTCATGTTATTCAACGTACGATAAACCACTTTCTTGTTTTGGCAAGTGGTTACACACGAGCCCAGCATTGCGAAGCTCTCACCTCGGATAACTACAAGAGCTTTGTTACATGGAAGACCAGGTTCTCATGAATACGCTCGATTCTAGTCAATATCGATGGATTTGTTCCTGTAATGGCGTAGGCTACACATAAAGCAGAGATGGACAACGCTATGCTAACGGCACACGAGCAAACGCATTACGTCTCTCGTCGAGTACACGAGAGAAATAGAATCCAAACTAACGCGTGCTACGCAAGTTATACGATATATGATAAGCTAAAATAATTTTCTTCCCGCAATATACCGTAATTGCAAAAGCAATATCGGTAGACGAACATATTATTCCGCCGGAAGTATTACGTTTCTTCGCGTCCTATGTACGAGGAATTTCATTGTTGCATGCTTTCACGAGTGACTCGCGGAAGTCAGAGCGAACTATCTTTGATTAACATACAAATTGACGTAGAATGTATTATCAAAAAGAAATTAATTCCTCGTTTCGTACGATTGTTCCAAATGATTGCACAACGTAATATTGAAACGATTGATTCGATTAGTCTACGATCGATAAAATCGAACGAGCATTATTCGATAAGATTGATTTTATCGACACAACTAGTTATCCCTGAGAAAAAATACGTTTAAATAAGAAGAAAGGAATAAAATTATATCGCCAAGATTCTATTTTAAAATGATCCAATTGAATCGAAGATAATCCATGATTACAAAGAAAAATGTATTAATCTACATAAAATGATGATATATGTATTAGAAATATATTATCAAGATGTTTTAATGGCCTCGATTTCACTGAGAGTGTTCGTGCACTCGACCATGCATACGTACGATGAATATCAAAAAGGGATGGAAGCGATTGCTCAATCTTGAAGACCGTTACGGAGCATTTGCTTCTGGCGCGATGTTGTTGTTTACAATGTCGGCCGAACCAGTCAGCGTTTCACTAAGAACGGACTGACAGTCTGTTTTCGCCCCTCTTAACTCGCTCCACCTCTCACGCTTCGTCTTTGTTTCCGCAATCCACTATCCATTTTCTCTATCCTTTTTTTCACTTAATCTCTCGCTACGCCATTCCGCTCGACGGAGGAACCACTAAACTCTCATGCTTGTACGAAAACTACACGCGACTGCGTATCGAAATAAACTGCACGTGTGCGAATCGAGTATTCGTTTTTATCGGTCTATCTACGCTCAAGATACACGTACGACCATTTTAAAAGCCTCGCTATAAGCTACGTCCCTGGCTGTATTTTATTTTTGGAAGACACTCTCTAGGTAACCGCTTATCGACGACTTGATAAATTCAAAACGGAATACAATGAACAATTTAAATTTCGTATTGACGCGTATGTTCGATCGAAAATATTCATTTAAATCGTGAATGCGATTCGTCAAATTTTATATCATACATCATTTTTCTTTCTTTCTCGTTCGATACTCTGAGCATCGAATCTTTCTTCCTTCTCCCCACTACGAGTTTCCCCCTCTACTATTCCCTACTTTAAATCTTTATGGCGCGTTTATATAATTCTAATTTTATTTTCGATTTATTCGCAAATACTATATACAAATAATATGCATAAAAAATATATATATTTACGCATTATCGTTATTTAATCGATGACCTTGCCTTGTATCTCTGAAGTTATAAAAATTTGATAAGTAACGTCGAGATAAAATTAAAAACGAATGGCGCGAAAATATAAAAACAGATTCGAAACGTAATCTATTATTACGAAAGATGCATTATATATTTATAATTGTAATTAATATCGCATTTTTTTAGCTAATGCAAAAATTACAATAAAACAACATTAAACATTAGGCGGTAAATATGGTATTATATATTCGAATACTACACAAATTGAAAGGTCACATTGATAGTAGAAGAATGTATGTAATCCGGGCCGTAAACAAGATCAAACATTGGATATACGAGATGAATTCGGCATATTCCATTTTTCACTTTATTCATATTTGGCTATGCTCCGAAATTTAATATCGTATTAAATGTACTTTGAGTAGCAAATACATTAATCGAACCAATGGTGAGAAATTTACAAATACGAGTTGTTTAAACATCAAAGAAAAATATATTCCGCCTACATGTTTATGATTCAATAAACTTCTAACCATCTTTAGATTTAAAATTGAATCACTCTGGGGGAAAAAAGCATTCGAAGAATTCTAACCGAACGAATTCTTAAAAATTTATTATTAAATTTATTATTATTATTAACGATCGTATCGAAAATAAATAATTATTTTCTACGCTTTTTGAAGAAATCAAGTTTCTCGATATCGAGTCATCACTATTTCGAGATACTATTTCATATGCATTTCTAAATCAAGTTTCTTCAATCCTTTCATTTCATATAGAATTGAATCGATCTTCGAACAAATATTCTAGATATTGATTAATTCCGATCTCCAATATTCAGAGAACGATAATTGAAGCTTTTAACAACGAACATATAAAGGGAACGAGATCTTCTCTCTCCAATTCTCCCCCTCCACAAACTTTTGCTCGAGGACACGTACGTACTTGAAACGCATCGATACGCAGGTCTCATGTAAAATTGCATCAGGCAGATAACGGCCTCGATACATGTATATTTCTCACGTGTGCTTGCGTGTCTCCAAATCCATTACAATGAACTATTAACCATCCACACTGAGAAGCTTGCTAATTACTAGCGTAATTGATTAGCTTGATTTCGGTGGATAAACAAGGAATCTTCCGAGAGGTCCATCGAGTATCCATATTTAGTCCATCGATCCATAATTGAATTACTTTTAGAATCATATTTATATGTATCTTATCTATCGCCACACTGTTAGAGTAGTAATAGAAATTACGTCTGAATATATATATATATATATATATATATATATATATATATATATAT